AAAATATTTTACTCAATATACTTTAAAAAATAAACAATTTAAATAATCCGAACAGACTCGAAAATAGTCCCCAATTACACCAACCACCCATCCCACATTTAAGGAGAAATTTACAATGTGCACTCTTTAAAATGATGGACATTATAAAAAAAATTATATTTTTTATGATGAACGTTATGATTGTTTGTGATGTATATTATGACATTTTGTAATAAAGTTATAAATAACGAATTTGTTATGTGCACCCTAAAGTTATGAATGATAATGTTATAACATTTTGTGATTTTTGTTATAACACTTTGAGATTTTGTTATGACATTTTTTAGTAAAAAAAAAATTATGACTTTTGTAATGAAAAATTATGATATTTTGAGTGTAAGTTATAAAATTTTATAAAAAACTATAAAAGACATACCATATACCACCTTGTTGAGAGTGCACTTTGGAACATCTCTTCACATTTAATGACTCCCCTCCCTCTTCTATCGGGAGTAAGATAGACTTATATAACATATTTTGAGACATAAAAATAAAATAAAATAAAAAATGTGACAAGATTACATTTGCATCAACTAAAACACAGGAGTATGTGGCCTACCAAAACAATAATGGATGTTCTCAAAAAAACAATAATGGTGAGCTCTCTCTATAATAATGATAGAAATAATAATGCTGTCTCCCTGGACATCTAATACAAGGACTCATCTCTGTCTCCACAACCCTTGACATCTAATTAAAACACTCACATGTTTTTTAAAATTTTCTTTTTTAATTTGTGTAAAAAAAAAAATTGATTTTTCAATGAATTTAGTGCTAAAGAAACTAAAAAAAAATTAAAAAGTAAAACTTTTTTTTTAGTGGGCACTTTTTCAATTTTTTTTTATTTTTTTACTTTCTAATTTGTCTAAAAAAAAAATCCAACAAAAATTTATTTTGTTACTTTTATTCTTTTAGTTTTTTAAGAGCTACAATGCGTTGATCAAATTTTAATTGTTTTAAAAAAATTATCAAGATCATGTTAATTTTATTTTTTAAAAAACAAACGTGCTTTTATTACGGACTTATAGATGTCTAATCAATTTAATTTTCTACATGAATAATCTACTCAACAATTCTTATAATATGACGGTTCGAATTATGGAAAACGACTTGAAAAAAGCCCCTATCAGAGCATCACAACACCCTGTTGCGACCCCTTGGTCCGGTATGGTGCTGTGCCCTTTGCATGAGTGGTTTTCAAACCTATTTTGATTATTTAAATTGTTTATATTATAAAATTTGTCAAACATTTGTAATCATATGATTAAATCTTAATTATATTTAAAAAAATTAAGAAAAAATTATTTATAAGTCCTATTTGGAAGACTTATTTAATGTGAAATCCTATTAATATTCTTTTGGAGTTTGAAGTCTTATTTAAATAGGAATGTGTTCTATAAGATCCTATGAGTTGTAAATGAATAATATTAGTATATTATTATACCCCTAAGTTGTTTTCATATTGTACCTTATTTTCTTATTCATCATGTTACGTTTTGAAAAGCTTTTAAAAAGTACAAATCTACAAGCAACGACCGTGCGAGTTTTTTTGGCCTTGATCGCAAGATTACAGTGCATTTTCAAATGTTGCTTAAATGGATGTGAATATGGTCATTGATATGATGAAATTTGAGGGTTGTGTGTTGATTCCTTCGACAGATTTCGACTCTAATCAATTGAGGGGAAGAAGTAATTTTTTTTTTTTTTTGAAGTGTGTTGTTGTATGTTGAAGTGTGGATTGTGTGGATTGTTCATCTTTATTTGGGCATTGACAATCTATTACACCCATTGATAGGCACACTTTAGCCAATATTCTGATTGAATGTGTGTATGTGACATTATGATGGTTGATGTGTTTTGATATGTTCGATGTGTGGGGTGGTGTATAAGGGTTCAAGGGTTGAGTTGGGGATATTTGGTTTTGGATGTTAATTGGATGTCGAATGTGAACCACGTCGTAGGATGACAATTGTATATTGGGACCTGGATGATCGTATTACGATGCATGTTACATTTAGTATGTAACGTTAATCCATACACACTATTATGTAGTAGATGACATTTGTGTGTTTGTTCGGTTGTATATGTGTTTGAATGTGTATCATGTCTTTGTTATAATCAGTGTTTACATATATATCACAGTACGTTGCATAAAATTATTGCATATTTGGGTTTGTAATTAAATATAGATTGAATCCTATCGCTCGATGTTGAAGTTACGTTGGGTTAGGGGTGATGGTCGTTCAACACATGGGTTGAGTTGGGATGTTATATGTTACATTTAGAATGTTACATTATTCATAATTCAACGGTGAAGTATTAGAATGTCACATTGGGTTTGGGATGAGAAATATATGGGAATGCCACAGTAGATTTGTCACAGTGGGTTTGGGATGTTACATGTTATATTTACGTTGGGTTTGGGATGAGAAGCATATGAGAATGTCAGGTTGGGTTTAGAAATGCCACATTGGGTTTGGGATGTTACATGTTACATTTATATTTTGAATTTCAAATTTCCAACCATATAGATATTATCACAATCTATGGTAATATTGGATTTTCCATATATGGTATTACCATTAATCAAGTTATTTTGAATCTCAAAAATATATGGGAATGTCACGTTGGATTTAGGAATGTCACATTGGGTTTAGGATGTTACATGTTACATTTACGTTTTGAATTTTAAATTTCCAACCCTATAGATATGATCACAATATATAATAACAATGGATTTCCCATATATGGTATTGCCATTAATTAGGTTATTTTGAATTTCAAATTTCTAACCATATAGATATGATCACAATATATGGTAATATTAGATTTTCTATATATGGTATTGTTATTAATTAGGTTATTTTGAATTTCAAATTTCTAACCATATGAACACAATCTATGGTAATATTGGATTTTTCATATATGGTATTATCATTAATCATGTCATTAACTAATTAAGATTGGGGATAGATGTGTCCGCAAGAAAACCATAGGACCTATTGGGTTAAACGTTTTTTTTATAGAATCATATATTGTATAAGACTTCCAAATAAGACATATAAATAATTTACCCAAAAATAAATAATCTATTATCAAAATTATGTATGTCATTTATTTTTTAAAAACAAATATGATCTTTTTTTGTAATTACAAATATCTTATTAGTATTTTTTTTCCATGAATGATCTACTCGATAAATTTTACAATATGAATGATTCAAAACATAGAAATAGATCTAGAATCTATCCACACAAGGGCACAACAGGAGCATCTCCAATTCCTAATCGGGGTTCTAATATCTGCCATGTGACTTTTAGACCTAATTATTTACCAAGATAATGATAAAAACAATACATATATATATATATATATATATATTACTGAATTGAATTGTGGATTTATCATTTTAAAATTAAATTTTATTTATTTATTTTTAAATACCACCGTCACTTAAAAATTTTAATTCTGATGAATAAATTTGTACAAAAAAATTCTCATTTACTAAGATTGGAACTTGCAAGACTCCTCATTGAGGATACAATCCCTAGAGTCAAGAAATGTGTCTTGTTTTGCTCATCCACCGAGGGCCACTTGATGGATTAACCCAACCAAGAAAAAATTAGAGTCAAACCTCTTGAATAAAATCTTTAATATGATGTTGGATATTGAATTTGTGGAGTGATAAAGCAAAATTAAAGAGAATATATAGATAAAAGAAATGAAATGAAAGAAGTTTAGCTTTGGAATAAAATCAAAATATAAGGTTTAGATCTAGAATTTATTGAGCCACAAAAACATAAAAGAGAAAAGTTAGATAAAAGAAAGGGTAAATTACACTGACTCCGCTTGAAGTCTGAAAAAAATACAATCAGTCTTATAATTTTTTGACATAATTACGTTGGGATGCTTTAAAATTTTAATTCACATAATACCGAACTCTATTTTCATCAATAAAAAAATAATATTGCCATATATTTTACAATAATATATATATTTTTTGTTATTTATCCTTATATTTTCAATATAATTATATTAAAATTATGAAATTTATTATATTTTTTTCAAAGCCGTAGGGAGTCAATGTAATTTCCCTTAAAAGGAATGAAGTGGGGAAAAAAATTCTTCCAAAAAATGAAGAAAATGAATTATTTATGAGGAAAATAAAATTTTGATTGGTTATACATAAAAATATAAATACATATTAAGTAAATTAATCTCCTTTTAATTTTTTAATTGACAAATTTTAAAATCTAAACATTAACGATAAATTGATGGTTACATTTTGTTAATGAGCCAAAAAATAAATCTCTTATTTATTGAAGAAGAATAATCCTATAAATGCCTAATCATTTTCTTTTTATTTTTCCATCCCACCACGCCTTCTGTTTTATTTTCACCAACAAAAATAAATAAAAAATAAAAAACAAACTAATATAAAACTTGTTTGACAAGCTATTTTAAAAAGTGTAAATATGTCAGTCACACCTTTTTACAATATTTATTATTGTTTGCTCACAATGAAAATGTCCCATATCACATGATGATGCGAGACTCACTCCCATTATAAGCGTTACAAAATTATTGTAAAATAAAATATGTTACTATAACAAACTTTATTAAATATTTGTTCTCATAAAATTTTTAACAAATACCACACCCTCACCACTGCCAACACCACCATTGACACAAGTTCAAAATTGCAACCAAAATTTTTTTTGTTTTTAAAGGAAAATATTTTTCTAAAAAAGTTCGTCATAAAAAAATATTTTCTACTAAAAACAAACGGAACGTAGTTGACAATTCCATCCATTAAAATGGCATAATTAAAACAAAACAAGAGCCTCTTAATCTAGATTGTGTAGAGCATTAAGGTTAGCTCAACTAATTTCAATTTTCCAGCAAAGAGCCATCTGCAGTGAAATTATAAGATGGAATTTTTCATGATATAACCACTGCAATGAACACCTCAAAAGATATCGCACAGTAATATTGAAAAAAATGAACAGTTTACCCTTGTGTAAAATTACAGAAAGGAGAATATTAACATCATCGGACCCCGCCCGCATACGGGTCAATTCCAACATCTCCCAGGTCACTCTAAAGAATAGCTGTACAAACAAATTATTATATACTGTAAAACAGAGCTAACCCATCAAGATGGTTGTTCCTCACATTTAAGAAGAGCCATCCTTTGAGACCTTGAATGGCTTTGCCTATTACTAAGGACATCAATGTAAGTGCGGAGTCTATAGCGGTCTGAATTTGTGAGAGAGAAGGGAGGATTCAGAATGAGGGATGGTGCTTCAACAAGAAGGAAGACCAACAAACGCACTGCTTTCGAGTAGTAAACTGCTGCACTTTCCATGTCGCCCATGTACTCGTCAACCTGCCAAACATACAAAAGAGACAACAATCCTCAAAGGTGTTGCCAATTTATTTTTAACATTTATAAAATTAAAATAAATAAAAAAATATGCTGCTTGTTTGTCTGTCTTGTCAGAACTCAGAAGGTTTAGGAGAGAAGGAAATGAGAATGGCTTCTCTCCAGTTTGGACCCGAACGGGAGAGGTCCAGTCCTGACTCCCAAACACCAGATGGTGCCACGTCAGCATTCCAAAGTGGGGAGAACCGACCTCAAAGGAAATTGGAATGCTCAAGCGAAGTCAAATACCTGGCATTTTAGGCATTTTCTTTTTCCCTCCAGAGAATGACAGAGTCTAAACATTACAAAAAATATATATATCCAGAAAACTAATAGTAGCAGAAATGATTGTATATGATGAGATCACTTGTAGATAACTAGAATTATAAATTATCTTGAATTTTATTGTACACTGAAAAACAAAAAAAATCACCAACTAAATTGTCAGTCCAAGGGTGTAAAATAAGTACTTACAGCTCCATGTTTGCCCAAAGCAAGGGCAGATTGATATATTGTCTCCATTGCATCAGGCATCTCCATATTTCCTGAAAGCATGACAAAAAAAAAAAAAACTACCAAAATAAATAAATGTATTAAGTATTTAGTTCCCTACAGACTTGAACCATGAAGACTATAGCTTTTATGTTCTGACAAACACATATAGAAGTCCATTTTATGCATGTATGCATAAAAATTAAAATGTTTGCTGCCAATAAGGATCCAGGAGACACCCAAACTCGGCTATTAGAAGGAATACAAAAAATGGAAATACAGTCCCATCTTTCCTCATAAATACAGCTATCAAGTATGCTGATATTAAAACTCAAAATAAGAGCACACTCGGATTTGGGTCGCATCACTTCAACCAGAAGCAAAAGAAGGTAGGTACCACAAATAAAATTATTGTTCTCTTCTAGAGTTGTTTTGTGCTTTAATTTGCATGACAAACATTTATGTCCCTCCAATGCCTTCAAAAATGAAACATTGGAGTTGAAAGTTCATCAAAACTACTAGTCTAGAACATGAGCAAGAAAAATACAGGTATCAAATTAAGTGAGTTAAAAGGATGACTAAAAATGATACTATTTGATCAAACAGGATGCAAGTACACATGCAGTAATTGCTATATCGCCATCAACAATGATAGATCTAGGGCAGGTGTAGGGCGGTGATTGCATCTCCAAAAAATTTAAAAACTCTCTTATTATAGTAGCAATTATTTACAGGATTTTGCAACCCCAAAATTATAAGATTTTGCACCCCCGAATTAACTATGAGTTTAAAAATAGTTTTCTAGTCAAGTTTTATCAACTATTGGTCCTCTAGCATATGCTGTGTTATTTGTTATATATACAGTTTTCTTGTATTTGTCCTTGTTTGCTACCATTCTTGTTTATGTCCTTAGGTCATTTAATTTGCTTATGCCCCTTATTTTGCATCCATTCTTGTTTGTTCATCCTCTAGGAATGGGAATATTATGACATCAAGACTTTAAAGCCATACCTGGCTCAATGACTTTGGCAAGTTCCTCGGCACTTTCAACTTCAAGAAGAAATTCCCTCTCAATCTGTGAGCAAATATCCTGCGGTCTTCGAGTGTTAGCACCACCAGGACTACCATGCTCCTTGTTAGTGCTCTCCCGCAATCTAGCCATCTCTTGTGTTGGGCTTCCTTCAATAGCTGACATGGCTTGGGTATGACAAATGTGAAGAGCTTGCTTCCATATTGCAAGAATTACAAGCTCAATAGAGAATGCTTCTAGTTGCCTACCTGCCACAATCTTTTCAGAGAACAGGAAACAATGTAATTATTTGAACTTCGAAGATATCAGAAATGTATGCAAGACAACAAAACCTGAACCAGAATATATGAATTCATGGCTACAAAAAAGAATACCATATGAAGATTCTAGTAACCGCTTGCAATGCACATTGCATACATGCACGGTGGTCTAGATTTAATATGTACCGAGACTCAGCACCGCCCAACTAGTAGATTAATTGGACGATGCTTTACGATTCACTCAGTACAGTTTGAAGTCAGTACAATGATTTATATCAAGACTCAATGCACATTGCATACATGCACAGGGCCTGCTGCATGATTGCTTAGTCACTCCACAGAGCACTCCTTTTCACTTTCCAACAAAAAATGGTGGAGGAAATTGCAAATAAATAAAAATAAAAATGTTTGATTGCACAAGTGGAGTTGCCATGAATTACCTTTTCATTTACTAATTCTGTGATGGCAGATGCAAACCGCTGCAATGACTTAATCCTGGTCATGCAGTGAGCTGATGACTGCTCTAAAGCATCTCGTATATCCACGGATCCTTGTGAAGTCCCAGAAGGAACAGAGCTCTGACTGTCTAAGCTTCCAATGCAACCAACTCCACTGCCTGTTGCACCAATGATTTGCATTGGGGCACTTGACGTGGAGTTTACATTTTCAGATGCTTGATGGGGACTCTCTGACTTGCATGGCAAATGGCTGACCTTGGAAGCACTTGCCGAAGAAGACGATGCATCCATTTGGGATCCAGACACGAAAACATACTCAAGATCAATAAACTCCAATGAATCCAAAACTGTAGAATCCATGCACACAACAACAAAAAAGGATAAAGTTTAGGAAAACAGATTATGGACATAGATAAAAGAATATGGAATTAACATTTGGTTTATGGAAAATGAAGTTACCTCTCGAGCGCATGCTCATTGGTCTTTGGTCCATGGATTTGAGAGATTCTTTCAAATTTCCTTCTGAAGGTCTGTAGCTGTCAGGCCTAAAACCAGTATTTTCTGGGTTATGTGTAACATTACCAGACTTGGAAATAAGATCCGTGTCTTTTGAAGTGTTGAACACTTCCTTTCTATCAACTTTTGTATCAAGCAAAAAACCATATGTGCACTTCATAGAGGGCCTCCTAACAATGGATGGATTCCCATCATGAACACCAGAATCATCATCAAGACTGAAAGGTAAACAATCTTCTTGAGAACACTCTTCTGCATTCCTCACAGGTTTGTGTTCAGAAAAGGGAAAACCATCTATTATTCTCGGTGGCTGCCTATTCCTGCATTGCCAAATGAATTCCATAAATTTTGAGTATAGAATGAGAACCATAGCATATTGCTATCATGAAAATTCTTCGCCTCGATTACCTCAATTCATCTGGTTGCCCCAGAGACAGAAAAGGGTGGTTAAAAAACTCTTGAAATGTCAACCGTTCCACTGCAGATGCAAGATACAGAGAAAGATTAGAAAGGATTGGGTATGAGAGATGGTTGAATTGTTCATTTTGAATTATTAGGATTACTGATGATTCTTTTTGTCATTATTTCCTCACTTGTAGCATCTTATCTCATTCCCATAATGTTTCTATCGCTTCCTCTCCTGTGGCACCCATATCTCAAATTTCAATTTTTTTAAGAAATTTCAGTGATTGGGTAGCTAATGAATTATCTTCTTTGTTAGCTATCCTTCATTTGTTTCTTTAAAGTGTGAAACTATTCATAAAAGAGTGTGAACTATTCATTCACCGGGGTTATCTCTTGTAAGTCTTTTTTGTGATAAGATTATTGATGTATGTACTACTCTTTACTCCTCATAAGGTGATTTGTAGTTACTGTTGGTAAAAGTGCGGGGCGCACTTATAAACACAAAGGCCTCCTAGAACCTAGGCACAAAGCGCAAGTAAATGCCTGATTGAAGTGAAGCACATATTTTTAAAAAATAATATATAATGACAAAGAATTCATGGTATTTAATTAGAAAAAAGTGATTGAAAAAAAATCAAATAGCGATATATTTAGCTTTTAGCATAGCTCAATACCAACGATATGATTCGGAGAAAGAGACCTAATTGCCTTTTTCTCCTACGGTGGTGTGTCATGCATAGGACAGAAGAGGAGAGCATTGACCATTTATTTTTTCATTGCCTTGTGGCATTGACCTGACACAAACTTTTCCATATGATGGAACTGGATTGGGTAGCATTCTGTTGTATTCAAATGCTTCATTGATTACAGAGCATTTTGGCACCAATAAAAAGGCATAAGCTTTCGTAGTTGTGTTACTAGTGCTGTGTTTTGACAGATTTGGTCGGACAAGAATGCAAAAATTTTGTGAGGAAGTCTTATTTATCCACTTTTTGGGCTTCAGTTTCATCTCCTTTAAAGGGGATCCCTTTGTTTTTATTAGCAAAGATTGGAGAGCTGCATGTGATATGTAACTTTTGTTTCTTTGTATTTTCTTTTTGATGGACTTCTTGTCCTCTTTTTTTCCTGTATGGATTTCTCCTTGTTTCTTCCTTAATTATTTATTTTTTTTTTTTGGTTCACAAGAGAGGGAGGGAGGGAGGGAGGGAGATGATTGAATTGTAGTTAATCTCATAACTGGAACCATTTAAAGATAAGCCGAATTTTCACAACTCTCTTGTTTCATTCCTTCACTTTATCTGTTAATAGTGAAAGCTGCAAAAAGACCAATAATTCACCTTCATTTAAAAATTTTTGTATCATGCCATTGTGAGAATATTGTGTATATATGTATATATGGTAATGTATTGTGATAGAGTGGGTGATTGTTTTTGTTTCCTTTTTAATCTTAGGGTTAGAAGTACTATATAATCAGCTGAATCATTGGTATTATGAGACAATTGAATATACAAAATACAGAAAACTTACTCAGTATCAGACCCACGTTTGAAACCCTAGGCCTTGCCTTGATCATTCAAAGTTCTTTCTCTTCGTTCACGCTTGTCGTTCGAAGTCTTCCTTGGTCTTCTCCAAAGTCACGAAGGTCTTTCTGGGCTTCTCCAAAATCACGACAACCCTCTCTGTTCTTCTCCGAAGTCGCGACAAACTTCTCTGGTCTTCTCTGAAGTCGCAACAGACTTCTAGTGCTTGGTTTGAAGTCGCAACTCTGGTCTGGGTTTGAGGGATCTCTCTCTCTCTCTCTCGGGCAACCTCTACTTTGGCTCGACTTCTGGTTCTCTCTCTCTAACTGTGTCGATCGAAGCTCTTCACCATTAGTCTCTGGTCTCTATTCTCTAATTTCAATCCACCAGTATTTGACCCTTCTGTCCCAACTTTGGGTTATTACAGCTTGACCCCTCAAATTTATTGGGTTATTACACTTTGCCCAATCAATTCCCTTCTCTTTTATTTCTGGTTCATTACAATGTCGGAAGATAAAATTCAGGCTATCAAGTGCAAATTTACAGGTGACAACTATGCTTATTGGTCTAGTGTTCTGAGAAATTTTCTCGGTCAAAAAAAATAGAGATATCTTTCTAGTACTGTTCCTTGTCCATCGGATCCAAAACAAGAAGGATATCTGACTTCCTGTGACACTTGGAATGATGATAATGCCAAAGTTTTGACCTGGTTCTGTGGATGACCATATCAGGATGATGTTCTCTAAATACAGCACTGCCAAAGAGATGTAGGATTACTTGCAGAGGGTTTTTTAGCAATCCAACTTTGCCAAACAATATGAGTAGGAAATAACTATTCACGGATCTCGTCAACGGGATCTGTCTATTTAGGATTTCTATATTGAGATGACAAGTCTCTGGGATCAGTTGGCTAGTATGGAACCTTCCAGCCTCAAGGTTCTAGATGCTTATATTGAGTTTCGGGAGCAGGGTCGTTTAATGTAGTTCTTAACGACTCTCTTCCTCGGTATGAGGCTATCCGTGGTGGCATCCTTCACCGGTCTCCTCTTCCCTTTGTGGATGCCATTGTTCGTGAGCTTCTCTCCGAGGAAACCCGTCTCAAAACGGCCAGTCAAACTCCGCCTCCATCTTGTCTTCCTAGCTCCTACTCAACCTCCACTATTATCGACACCACCGATTCAAGCCACTGCAAAGCCCAAGAAAGGGCTCTTGGTTTCAAGTGAGTGTGTTTTCTACCATCAGAGGGGCCATTGAAAATACAATTGTCCCAAGAAGGGACGTCAACCACCTCAGACAAAGTTCCACGGTCCTACTCAGAGTATTTTCGGGCCTCCTACCACTTATGCAGCATCTACTCCTTCCAATCCTGACTTGGCTTCCTTAAGTGCTCAGATTGTTCAACTTCAGCAGATTATGTCCACCTCTCAGCCATCACCATTTGTCTCCGCTCTTACCTCTCTTCATTCAGATTTGCTTAGGTCTTCCTCTGGTATCCCTTCTTCTCTCTGGCTTTTTGATTCTGGTGCCTCTCATCATATGACTCCTCATATTTCCCTACTCCAAAACTGTAGTCCCCTTCCTGTACCTATTACTATTAATACTGCTAATGGGTCTGGTATATTTGTTGTGTGTATTGGGTCTATCTTACCCTCTATTATGTCTGTTGTTACTATGAGGAGACCTTTACACCTGTTGTATAGATGACTATTGTCTATACTGTGATTTCTGTTATTGATGTTCGTCATTAGCCCTTTTATTAGATGGATGTTAAGAATACTTTTCTTAATGGCCATCTCACTGAGGAGGTATAAATGCGTCCTCCTCCTGGCTTTCCTCATTCCTCTGGATAGGTTTGTCATCTTCGACGTGCTCTGTATGGTTAGAAGCAATCTCCTCATTCTTGGTATGATCGCTTTCAGACATTTGTTACTGAGCTTGGGTTTCATCCTTGTGTCCACCTCTTAGCCATCACCATTTGTCTTTGCTCTTACCTCTCTTCATTCAAGTTTGCTTAGATCCTCCTCTGGTATCCCTTCTTCTCTCTGGCCTTTTTTATTTTGGTGCCTCTCATCATATGACTTCTCATATTTCCTTACTCCAAAACTGTAGTCCCCTTCCTGTATCTATTACTATTAATACTGCTAATGGGTCTGGTATGTCTGTTGTGTGTATTGGGTCAATCTTACCCTCTGCCATGTTTGTTGTTACTATGAGGAGACCTTTGCACCTGTTGTGAAAATAAATACTGTCCATACTTTGATTTTTGTTACTGATGTTCGTCATTGGCCCCTTTATCAGATGGATGTTAAGAATGCTTTTCTTAATGGTCATCTCGCTGAAGAGGTATACATGCGTCCTCCTCCTGGCCTTTCTCATTCCTCTAGACAGGTTTGTCATCTTCGGTGTGCTCTGTATGGTTAGAAGCAATCTCCTCGTGCTTGGTATGATCGCTTTCAGAAAGTTGTTACTAAGCTTGGGTTTCATCCTTGTGCCCACAAATCTGCCTTGTTTAGTCAGATAGACTAAGCAATCCACAAGCTTGCGATATAAAGTGGGATCATCCAGAGAGACACCATCAACAGTGTTGAGCTTCACATTAAGCTTAATGGGGGTATCAAAAATTTTAGTGTCAGTAAGACCGCCACAGTGAATAACCTCATTGGCATACTTAGCCTGAGACAGAAAGTAGCTCTTGGGAGAAGAGGTCATCTCAATACCAAGAAAATACTGTAAGGGTCCCAAATCTTTCATTTCAAAAGTGCTGCTTGACCTCAGAGATAGCAGAAAAGTTAAAGCCAGTGATGATCATATTATTTACATACAGTAATAAAGCAACAAAACCAGCAAAGGTGTAGAGGTGCCTATGTTGTTCGTGTGGTTAGCTAGTTTGTTTCTGCTCCTCACCCTACACATTAGGCTACTTTGGATCGGATTTTTCGCTATCTTCGCAGTACTATCTTCCAAGGCTTGATGTTATCGTCTACTTCTTCCTTGGAGTTAGTGGCCTATGCTGATGCTGATTGAGCTGGCAATGTTATCCATCGTAGGTCCGCTTCTAGTTTTTATATGTTTCTTGGTGATTTCTTGATCTTTTGAAAAACTAAGAAACAAACTGTTGTTACCCGTTCCACTGCCGAAGTTGAGTACCGTGCTATGACTCATGCTACTGCTAAAGTTGTTTGCCTTCGCTGTCTTCTCTCTGACTTGGGCATTCCTCAGTCTTCTTCGACCTCTCTCTATTGTGACAACCGCAGTGCTATTCAGATTGCACATAACACTGTCTTCGATGAGCAGACCAAGCACATTGAGATTGATTGTCACTTTATCCGTCAATATCTGCAATCTGGCTCTATCTCGCTTACTTTCGTGTCTTCGTCTCTGCAACTTGTTGACTTCTTTACCAAGACTCACATCACTGCAAGGTTTCAATTTCTTCTCAGTGTTTTCTACTAAAACACCTTGAGTTTGAGCTGAAATGTGAGAATATTGTGTATATATGTATATATGGCAGTGTATTGTGAGAGAATGGGTAATTGTTTTCGTTTCCTTATTAGTCTTAGGGTTAGGAGTACATCGTTTCCCTTTTGGTCTTAGGGCTATGAGTACTATATAATGAGTTGTATCCTTTGTATTATGAGACAATTGAATATACAGAATACAGAAAACTTACAATCATAACTATGAACCCATATACATTACAAAATGCCAATAGTAGCATTATCATGACACATTTTGCCCACCATACCTTTAAATACAACAGAAAGGTAAAAAGTAAGCCTTTAGCATATTAATACATAGCATAGATTGTTTCTAGGTATACAAAGTGACATATCCAATGACTAATGTCTTTTTCTTGTGCTATGAATTAAAAATAAATTTTAAACAAAAAAAAGGAAAAGTTCCAGATTAGAAACTAACTATCCAGGCCATTGTGATCTTATATGTATCAAAAATCAAGATGAATACCTGGATTACGGCGTAGCAATTTTCGACACAAATCTATGCAGTCAGAACTTAAATCCTTTTTATCCGGAGGAAAATTCAATTCGGTTGATTTCACGATGTTCTGGAGCAGCTGCGCAACACATAAGACGAAAATATTTTAGTTCAAGGTGACAATGCATCAAAAATTACTGATATAATCTAAGTCAAACTCAAAGAATTCTTACAAAGCCTGGTGACATCATAGCTCAGTACATCACTAAATTATGGAAAAACTTGAGTGCTACATGAAATCACTTAGACATGCTACTAATAAAGATAACTAAACCTGTATTTGATTGCTTCCTGTAAATGGGGTTTTCCCCGTTGCAAGCTGAAACAAAATGGCACCAACACTCCAGAGATCTGCCTGCGTTTTCAGTTCAAGGTTAAAAGGATAAGGTATACAAAACAAAAATTGTTGAAGTGCTTGTATAAGGAAAAAGTGAATGTCACCTTTGCATCATACTTCTGAAGTTGCATTATTTCTGGAGCCATGTAAAGTGGTGAACCACACAAGGTTTCAGCAAGGCCTAAAGGTTGAAGGGTTCTGCCAAAAGAAAAGTTTAATTTTTTAACTTTGGACTTTTGAGACTTGAATGGAAGAATTTCGGGAAAATCTTCTAAACTTAGGCATTTTCTAATTAGATATACAAGGCATGCAGAGAATTTTATCTTCTGAATCATAGAAAAAATATATGGATCAATAAAAATTACCTTTTTAAAATAGAGAATTTTGAGCAGAGATTAATTGTAGTGCATCATTCCAATGGAAAAAATATAGGGTAAATTACAAACACCACCCCATGAGGTTTATGATAACTATAGACTGTCCCTCTGGTTTAAGAAATTACAAATATCCCTTATCAGAGTTTGTCTTTTAAGGAAGTGAATAGAAAGAATTAACTAATTACTCCAACATCAGTAGAAAATAACCCAACCAACATTATCTCCTTCCCCCCTCACCCAAACCCCTCTGTCTCCAACCCCCACCCTCAGCGTCCCTCCCTCACCCCTCCCTCAGTAAGTACATAATATCAATTTATTATTCTCTTTATTGTCTAGAAAGGGTGCTCGCCTTACAAGGGCCCGCTCACTTTTTGCTGTCCAACCTTGGAATCAAATAGGGGGCCTGGAACAAAAATTCACGGAAAGGAGAGTTTTGAATACATGGCCTTCAACAACTTAAAACTAGAGAAGTATTTTAAAAGCCCTCAAAGTGAAAGATGTCTGTAAATGGGTCAGTAGGTGAACCATCAAATGTATTGACTAATAAATCTTCTTTCAAAAGAAGCTTAATGAGAGAGAGAGAGAGAGAGGTAAAATCGAAGGAAAATTAAATTTAACATTTCAGATATTCCTAAAGAATTTATTTTTTATTTTTAAAAAAGGCCTTATAGGTAAGAAGGAATATATGATGTTGATGACAACTTTACCTTGCAAATCCAAAATCTGCAATCTTCAGGACTGCATTGTCATCATGTGTGGACAGAAGGAGATTCTGTTGTACAAATGATACGCATTATGATGATATATAAAAATGACGCATACACACATACAAAGAATTACAAAGATACTGTTATATTCTAAACAAATTCCTTTGCAATCAGAAATTTCCCCCATCATTCTTTGAAGAACTGAAAATCATTAACCCACTTCAGTTCCAATTCTTATCTTCATTTTTTTTACTTTCTTTACTCACTTTGTTTATTCAACTATCTCTAATCCTAGATGCCCTATGCAAAAAATTCAACAAAATGCATTTTGATTCCTAATTAAGAGAGACAAGATTGAAGTGCTCAGATACACAAGCACCAAGATATGCAAGTTGATGAAAGCAAGTTTTTTGAGAGATGCTCTTAAACACTGGTGGCTTCATTAATAAAAAGTCAAGTAGTAGCTTTCACAAAGAATTAGGCCCATCATGTTCTATAGGAACAATTCTATCCAAAATCAAAATTGTCAACAAAGCTTTAACCATTTGCTTTGCACAACACAATTTTATGACTTTCACCCTTTGAATTGTAGACCTTTGCAAGTGGTCTGAATCCCTTTAGCTATGCATGTTCCAAGTTCCAACTCCTCCCTTCCCCAAAGAAAAAAGGCAATGAAAGGTCTTTATGACTCCTCTCAACGTGACAGCAAAACACCATGGAGTACCACACTCATTACAAATAATGTTTATCCTAGTATTATTCTTTTAGATTTTACTTGGGCAATTTGGATAACTTGTAAAAGTCAGCTATTTGGCGGGACAAAATGTCAAACTCGTGACCATAACCTGATCCTTAAAACCTCCAGTTACTCTTTTCATCACATAGAATTTGAATTTATGAAACATAAAGACATATTTTGGACCAATAGCACTACAGGAGAAACCACAACCAAGGAAGCTCAAACCTGGGAACGCTTAACTATATCCAGGAAAAGAAGGCAGATTTTCTCTCTTCACACACACACATTCATGGTCTGAATTTTGATTCTTGACTCTGAGAACATAATGCGAAGAGCGTGCCAGAAACACGTGCATAACAGAGCATGGACATCAGGCCCATATGCGTATGCCAGATTCACGTTTACAATAGTCCCTCCTTCTGAAACATCTTTCATGTAAAGGCTAAGGCCTGGTTTGGGAAGACTAAATAAGTGCACTTTTTGACTTTTTATGAAATATGATTTGGGTTTGGGTTGGGTTTGAAGTGATGTGTTAGAGAGGTGATGTGACTTAAATAGGATAGTGATTTTTTGACTTTTTAGCTTTTTTGGGCCTCGTTTGGGAACATGCTTTTTTACCAACTTTTTGACTTTTTAGCTAAAATGTGATGTAAAAATATCTAGTATGTTTGAGATGATTTTTTGATTTATTAAGAACATATGTGCAAAAAATAGAAAGAAAAGAGAATCTTTGATTTTTTTGTATGGGTTGTTGGCTTTTTAATTTTTTTAAGTAATTTTTTTGACTTTTTAATTAAAAAAGTTACTTGTCAAACGAGACCTTCGTATATGCCAAACAAGGCCTTACTTCTTTTTTTTTTAAGGAAAAACTATGAAAGAGGTATTTTCAAAATTTAATTATATAAATTTATGATTTTTTTTTAAATTTTACTTTTTAATAATTATAAAATTTATTGCTAATGTAAAAAATATTTTTTTAAAATATACATTAACGTCAAATTACCCCATTTTTTAACAAATGACAAGTCCATGAATGCGGTTGAGTGCACAGTATTTGAAAGGGTCCACCTTAAAAAATCACAATAAATGTATATTTTATTGGTGCACAAAATACAAGGTCAAAAGGATTTGTACCTTAGTGATTATTTGATGGTCTTCACTGTTGTCCTGTATCTCTTATCATTTTATATTTGTCAAATTATTTTTTAAAATATTAATAAAAAAATATTATATTTTACAATTTTAACTTTGTCAAATTATTTTTTAAAATATTAAATAAAAAATATTATATTTTACAATTTTAACTAATAAATATAAAGGTGCCATTTGGTAATACTTACATTTTCAGTTTTCTGTTTATATTTATAAAAATTTTAAAAACTCAAATAAAAACTTGTTTGGTAAATTTTTGATTTATGTGTGTGTGTGTGTGTGTGTGTGTGTGTGTGTGTGTGTGTGTGTGTGTGTGTGTGTGTGTGTGTGTGTGTGTGTGTGTGTGTGTGTGTGTGTGTGTGTGTGTGTGTGTGTGTGTGTGTGTGTGTGTGTGTGTGTGTGTGTGTGTGTGTGTGTGTGTGTGTGTGTGTGTGTGTGTGTGTGTGTGTGTGTGTGTGTGTGTGTGTGTGTGTGTGTGTGTGTGTGTGTGTGTGTGTGTGTGTGTGTGTGTGTGTGTGTGTGTGTGTGTGTGTGTGTGTGTGTGTGTGTGTGTGTGTGTGTGTGTGTGTGTGTGTGTGTGTGTGTGTGTGTGTGTGTGTGTGTGTGTGTGTGTGTGTGTGTGTGTGTGTGTGTGTGTGTGTGTGTGTGTGTGTGTGTGTGTGTGTGTGTGTGTGTGTGTGTGTGTGTGTGTGTGTGTGTGTGTGTGTGTGTGTGTGTGTGTGTGTGTGTGTGTGTGTGTGTGTGTGTGTGTGTGTGTGTGTGTGTGTGTGTGTGTGTGTGTGTGTGTGTGTGTGTGTGTGTGTGTGTGTGTGTGTGTGTGTGTGTGTGTGTGTGTGTGTGTGTGTGTGTGTGTGTGTGTGTGTGTGTGTGTGTGTGTGTGTGTGTGTGTGTGTGTGTGTGTGTGTGTGTGTGTGTGTGTGTGTGTGTGTGTGTGTGTGTGTGTGTGTGTGTGTGTGTGTGTGTGTGTGTGTGTGTGTGTGTGTGTGTGTGTGTGTGTGTGTGTGTGTGTGTGTGTGTGTGTGTGTGTGTGTGTGTGTGTGTGTGTGTGTGTGTGTGTGTGTGTGTGTGTGTGTGTGTGTGTGTGTGTGTGTGTGTGTGTGTGTGTGTGTGTGTGTGTGTGTGTGTGTGTGTGTGTGTGTGTGTGTGTGTGTGTGTGTGTGTGTGTGTGTGTGTGTGTGTGTGTGTGTGTGTGTGTGTGTGTGTGTGTGTGTGTGTGTGTGTGTGTGTGTGTGTGTGTGTGTGTGTGTGTGTGTGTGTGTGTGTGTGTGTGTGTGTGTGTGTGTGTGTGTGTGTGTGTGTGTGTGTGTGTGTGTGTGTGTGTGTGTGTGTGTGTGTGTGTGTGTGTGTGTGTGTGTGTGTGTGTGTGTGTGTGTGTGTGTGTGTGTGTGTGTGTGTGTGTGTGTGTGTGTGTGTGTGTGTGTGTGTGTGTGTGTGTGTGTGTGTGTGTGTGTGTGTGTGTGTGTGTGTGTGTGTGTGTGTGTGTGTGTGTGTGTGTGTGTGTGTGTGTGTGTGTGTGTGTGTGTGTGTGTGTGTGTGTGTGTGTGTGTGTGTGTGTGTGTGTGTGTGTGTGTGTGTGTGTGTGTGTGTGTGTGTGTGTGTGTGTGTGTGTGTGTGTGTGTGTGTGTGTGTGTGTGTGTGTGTGTGTGTGTGTGTGTGTGTGTGTGTGTGTGTGTGTGTGTGTGTGTGTGTGTGTGTGTGTGTGTGTGTGTGTGTGTGTGTGTGTGTGTGTGTGTGTGTGTGTGTGTGTGTGTGTGTGTGTGTGTGTGTGTGTGTGTGTGTGTGTGTGTGTGTGTGTGTGTGTGTGTGTGTGTGTGTGTGTGTGTGTGTGTGTGTGTGTGTGTGTGTGTGTGTGTGTGTGTGTGTGTGTGTGTGTGTGTGTGTGTGTGTGTGTGTGTGTGTGTGTGTGTGTGTGTGTGTGTGTGTGTGTGTGTGTGTGTGTGTGTGTGTGTGTGTGTGTGTGTGTGTGTGTGTGTGTGTGTGTGTGTGTGTGTGTGTGTGTGTGTGTGTGTGTGTGTGTGTGTGTGTGTGTGTGTGTGTGTGTGTGTGTGTGTGTGTGTGTGTGTGTGTGTGTGTGTGTGTGTGTGTGTGTGTGTGTGTGTGTGTGTGTGTGTGTGTGTGTGTGTGTGTGTGTGTGTGTGTGTGTGTGTGTGTGTGTGTGTGTGTGTGTGTGTGTGTGTGTGTGTGTGTGTGTGTGTGTGTGTGTGTGTGTGTGTGTGTGTGTGT